CTGAATTCTGAGTTCTGGTTAGTCTTTGTGAAAACGCAATGTGTTGTGACCTTGTAGGACAGATCACAATGAGGCAGCTTCACTTTGATCTGAAGATCAAACACTGCTTTCCAAATTGGGAATATTTATAAAGTAATGGTGAGTCTCAGGAAAGAAAACAAGCCTCACTCATGAGTGTATTGGAAGTGGAAAGATGGCAGAATTCATAGTATGTTACCGGTGAGTTGAGTAGGATGAGTTATTGCTAATAATATCCAACTGGCTGTCTCCTGTGTTGGATTTCACATGTCTTATGTGGACTGGCAGATGAGGGTAGTGGTGGAACTTGTGAATTGCAGCTATTTTTACCCTACCCTTAAACTTAAATAAGAAATCAGGAGTGTTTGTTTAATACGCCTGTGTGCATGGGCTGCCTCACAAACAAACGTGTGGGAGTGTGTGTACACAGGCGGCTCCTGCACCGGGGGACAGCGTGTGGCACCGGGGCGCCAGGCCCAGCACAGCAGGCTCGGAGGGACCGTGTCCCTGAGGGTGACACCCGCAGCCTGCAAGGGTGGCCGTGTCCCTGAGGGTGACACCCGCAGCCTGCAGGGGTGCCCGTGTAGTGGCACAGGGCCTGGCCTGCCCAGCGGGCAGTGGGGCAGGGATTCCCAAATCGCTGGAGGAGAGTGAGGAGCTGCTGTGGCTGCTCCCGGCCGAGGCAAGGGCTGCAGTGTTCGCAGGGGTGCAGCAAACCTCTGGAGCTGAGCTGTGGGACATGCTGGGCAGCTGCTCGCGCCAGGCCTTGTGCCAGCCTGTGACCCCGGACAGGGACGGGAGTGCCTGGTTCCGCTGAGGGCACGTGGAGGACAGGAGGAAGGGCAAATACCCTCAGCAGCTGGCCGAGCCTGGTGCTGTCACACCAGCCCAGCCATCCCTGGGGTCTCTGTAGCCCCTGGCCCGGGGCACAAGGCACACAGCTGCCTGCGGTGGGTGACAGCAGCCTGTTGCCATCGCAGTCCCCACCGGGCTCTGCTGCTGTCTGAACCCGCTCTCAGGGACATCCCACCCTGCCTCAGCGCCTGTGAATCCCTCTGCCTCGGGACAAATTCTCTCAATAGTTGTTTGCCTCCGGGTCTGCAGATCTCTGCTTTATTTCCAGCCTGAACTGGCTTTGATTTAGGCTCCCGCTGCTGGAAGCGTGCTGAAGAGCAGGGAGAGGGCTGCGGGGCATCTCCAGGACCTCCCGCTCCCTGTCCTGGGCAGGGGGCTGCGGGCTCGGTGTCCACTGCAGGGCACTGACCCCAGCGGGGCCAGGCTGTGCCCGGCCTCCCGGCACGGCCCCGGCCCCTTCCTCACGGCACGGCCCCGGCCTGCCGCCACCGCAGCTCGGCGTCAATGAACCGGGGCGGGAGAGCCCGGCCTCGGGACACACGGGCTCCGTGCGGGGACAGAGAAACGGGAGAACATGGCAACGGCAAGGAAACTGCTCTTCCTGAGGATTTCCTCGTCTGCTACAAAAGTGCCGCTGAGAGCGGGAGGTGGAAAGGAACGGCGAGAGACGCAAAAAGCCCCCAATAAATCCGTGATGCAGAGAGGGGACACCCTGTAAGGATGAGGGGGAGGCAGGGGACAGCTGTGGCTGGAGCTGCGCCCTGCCCCGAGCCCGGCGCTGCTGCCAGCCAGGTGCGCTGGCTCCGGGGCCCGCGGGGCTGTTTGCTCACCGCAGTCACGTCTGTTTGGGTGTCTGCGCCTCCGGGAGGCGGCTCCGAGCGGCGCAGGTACCCCCGCCCCTGGCACCCCTTCTCCTGGCACCCCCTCCCGTGGCACCCCTGCCCCTGGTACCCCCTCCCCTGGCACCTCCGTCCCTGGTACCCCCTCCCCCTCCCCGCCGCGGCCCCGCGGCCGCCCCGCAGCGCCGGGCAGGGCTCTCCGCTCGCCGCCGCGCCGGAGAGGAGCGGGAGGAGGAGGAGGAGGCACGGGAGGAGGAGGAGGGAGGTGGTGATAAGGGGTTTGCTGCGTCGCCTCATTTCTGTACCCAGCGCACGGCTCGTGGGGAGTGCGCGGTGCCCGCATCGCTGCCGGAGGGATCCTGCCGCTGCCGCTGCTGCTCCTTCTGCTCCTGCTGCTGCTGCTCCTGCTGCTCCTGCTGCTGCAGTCCCGGCTCAGGAGCTGCTTGTTTACCGGCTGGGAAGAGCTGCGGTGCGAGAGCCGAGCGTGCCGGGCAGGGGAGGCTGCGCTCACCTGTCAGGAGCGCAGCGGAAGAGGCTTCCCGAGGCGTCGGCAGCGCAGGGGCATCCTGCCTCAGCCCAGTGCCTCCAGCACCGACTGCTTCGGGTCTCTTCTAAGCCAGAAGAGGAAGAAGGATCCAGAAAACCCCTGCAACTGGACAGCCCCTGCTGGAGTCTAACAGGTGTTTGCTGGGATTTGAATGGGGAGGGGACGGGTGGGAAGAAAAGTTAACTGCAGAAATCGGGGCTAGGAGAGATGCGATGATCTTGCACCGAGTGGATGTGCCATGGCTGCACGCAAATAGCGCGTCTGGAGAAGCTTGGATGGATGTCTTGCGAGGGATCTGCGTGATCTCCGTAGAAACGCTCACCTCTGCCTGCAAACTTTCCCCTGCTAGAAGTTGGGAGGAATAAAAAAGCACCAGAAAGTCAAAAGGGAAGATCCCAGAGGACAAAACTGTTGCGTGCCGCGCCGGGGCTCTGGTGTTCATCCCGCCGGTGTGTCCTGGGCTGCCGTGCCGGCCGGCGGTGGGTGCCGTTGGCCAGGCTGCCCGGCAGCGTCCCCGGCCTTGGGGACGGCCGAGCAGCATGCTGGCCGCGGCCGGCCGGCGACCCCCGCGTGCCTGAGCCGGCCGGGCAGCCGGGGCGGTGGCGGCCATGGCTGCAGCCATCGCCAGCTCCCTGATCCGCCAGAAGAGACAAGCCAGGGAGCGGGAGAAGTCCAATGCCTGTAAGTGTGTCAACAGCCCCAGCAAGAGCAAGGGAAGCTGCGACAAGAACAAGTTGAATGTGTTTTCCAGGGTCAAACTCTTTGGCTCCAAGAAAAGGCGAAGAAGGCGACCAGGTTGGCACGGGTTATGTCTTTGGGGGGTTGGTTGGTTTGATGTCATGGAAGCTGGGATCTGTGTCAGTTGTGGGGAAAGGGGGAAAGGCATTTCATGGCTCATACAATGGATGTGCAGGACCTGGGTAGCCCATGCCAGTCCTTTCCCCTGTCGTGTTCGTCTGGTTTATTTGGGTAGCACACGCTGCTGTCTGTGCCTCAGCTGCACACCTGTGTGCAGCCAGGTACCTGTAAGTCAGCTGTCTGTCCCTCTGTCACACACATGCACACACATGGGTGTATTTGTGGGGGAGATGCTAGCGGGGAAGTTCCCACCCACGCATCTCTCTCTTTAATATATAGCTGTATATTCAATAACGTTGTGGTTTGGAGATCTGGTTTTGGTGTCCTGCTTCACAGAATGCCCGTGCCACACTTTATCCGCTGATTGCAGACGAGGTTTTCTGCTTTTGCTGGCACCTTCCAGAGTTTTGCTTCAGTGCCCTGTGCCTTTCTAGGAATGCCATACCTGCAGCTGCCCTGTGGACACGAGGCTCTCTGGGTCACAGGTGCCAAAGATCAGGCGTGAAGACTGGGTCCCTGATCTGAGTGGATTGTTTTGTACGTGGGAGGAGCAGAGCTCTCTGGCAGTGTTGCCGTGGCTTTGCTGTGCTGGAGCATTGATGCTTGTGCCACTCCACCTGTCTGCCTTGCTCACAGTTTGCCAGCAGCTTTGGGATGGATTATGGCTAGCAAGCCAGAGTGAGAGTTGGAATAATTTCTGGTCAGAAAAGTTGGTAGATAAGAGTTATGTGTCCATCAGGACTCTTATCAAAGTTGTTAATAAGATCTAATACACTTATGCAGACTGTGGTGAGCTTTTGCCTTCAGCCCCTGCTAACATGAGTGCAGTAGCAGAACCCCAGTGCCTTTGGTTACAAAGATAAGGAGTCTTACCCAGAGGCAGTGCTGGAAATGGCACACCACATCTTCACAGTGTTTCTGAGGAGAGTGAGATGTTGTGGAGAGAGCTGCAGGGCTGCATGAGCTCCTGACAAACGTAACTGTGTGAAATGACTACAATGCAGATGTCATTGGGATTCAGTGGGCGTAGACCCTTTTTTGCAATTATTCCTGATGCTTTAGCCAGATATCTTGAATGGCACACTTGACAGCATATCCTGCTGTTGTGTACTTTTTGGTCTGGAATGATATGAAACCGTGAGAGATCTCGCTTTCTAGCTGTGAATCTGAGGATGGCTATGGAAAAAAGAAATCTTTGCAAACTATGCGTTGTTTTGATCTTTCTTCTTCTAGCTGATGAGGTAATTACCTCAGCCCTTATGGTAATATTTATTTTGCAGTTCCACACATTGCTGGATTTCAGGGTTTCCCTCTCCATTTTCCATATGTTCATTGAGTAGTTTATCTCTTTGGATGCTCTGTACTCTGTGGAGCAGCGAGGAATGGGGGTTTGTTTATTAGAGCTGCAGCAGTTCCTGTGCTAAACGTTTGCTGCTGTATATTTAGGCTCTCAACTGTCACTGTGGCTTTTATTAATGCTATTGTAATAGTCTTCTTTTTCCTCTCCATCTAAGAACTCACACCTTTTTAAAAGACTGAATGTACTCTTTGCCAGCTCATTTTTAATCTTACATGAGATAGGGCTGTGCTCCTGGAGCCAAGAGTGCTGCTGGAATCCGTATTCACTGGAAGCAGATTTTACTGTGCTACTCACGTTGTAATTGAAAGTGGCGTTTAATCATTTTGGCAATTGATTTCATAGACATAAATTTGATCTCAGCCTAAATGAAAAGTGTTGCAAAGCTGGTAGCCCTACTTTTGTTTTGGGTCTTTTTCTTCCATCAGCCTTGAGAAGAAACCTGAAGATTTGTTTTTCCCGTCCTGCTCTCTTGGAGTGGCACATCAGGATTTCCCACGTTAATCTCACTGTTGTTTTTTTGCAGAGCCTCAGCTTAAAGGTATAGTAACAAAGCTGTACAGCAGGCAAGGATACCACTTGCAGTTGCAAGCAGATGGAACAATTGATGGAACAAAAGAGGAAGACAGTAGTTATAGTAAGTGACATGAGAATAAATGGTGTGTTTGTGGATTGTGGTGTCTCTCCCTCCCCTGCAGGTCCCCTCAGAGCTGCTGTCCTGGGGTGGCTGAGTGAGTGGCAGCAGCACTGACGCCGTGCTGGCAGCACAGAAGCCCTTCAGACTTACTGGGTCTGAGGGAAATAGAGATAGAAATCACTTGCAGAAATAATGAACCAGAGGAGGTAACGATGACACATGTGACAAACAAAGCAAATGTTATCTCCATGGTAATCCAGAGAAGTTCATTGCTGTCCTTTGGATTTTATTAGATATTTTTTTTCGGCAGGGAAAATTTGCTCGCCTACTCAGAGCCTGAAATAGAATAACGCTATCTCCACTCTCACACGGGCTCATTCAAACAGCGCCGTGGTATTTCACAAACCGGGACTTCAGCAGCATTTTCAACTTCACATTTCCCTATTGTTATTATTTGTTACTGTTTATAAATTGTCAACTTTCAACCAGCTTTCCCTCAGGTTTTCTGTGAAAAAGCTCTGGGCATTTTTACTTGTTCTTTTTGACTGGGTTTTTTATAACTTTGAGGATTAATAGAAAATGGGAGAAGATGACTACAGCATTGATTTGGTGTGTGAAAAATGCTTAAGGGTCGCACACAGCTAGACAAAAAGATTTGAAGACTGGTCAAATAAGGCAGTGTAGGAAACAATGCCCTGCAGAAAGTGTACGAAGATGCAGGTGGCCAAGCCAAGACTGGCGGACCTCAGAGAAATGTTTATGTTCATAAATCCAGCTGTGGCCTGCTGCCTCTTCCTGTGCACCTTCATTTCTCTGTCAGCTCATACTGCACAGAGACCTTGGCAGAGATCATCTGTCCCTTAGGCATTGCTTAGCTGTTCATTAGGAGGATATCCTTGTCCTTACATCCTTATTTAAAACAATGCAAATGTAATAGGGAGAGAGTGGGATGCAAATTGCTTTGCATTATTTTGTGCTGACACCAGCTGATCGCAACAGGAAGCAATTTATTTTGCTATAGCTTCTTTGCCACCCCTTGTGTCGTATCTGTCCACATGAGGGGCATCCCCTAGAAGTGAGGTAAGCCCTCCATCCTGCTGTGCCTCTGGGGACTTGCAGGAATGCTCTCAGTGCCTCTGCTGTGGGTCCTGGCAGCGCTCACGGCTGGGGACAGGTCACTCATGTTCCAGGAGCCAGAGCTGGGCGTGCTGCTGCTGACGGGGACAGTCCCATTTTTGCTGCAGTGCCAGCGCCCCTGTCCTTAGAGGCAGCAGCTGGGGCAGGATGTGTGGTTGTGCTGGCACAGGGCAGAGTGGGCACTGCTCCGACAGGTTCCCGAATTCCAGCAGTCTGTGCCACAGCCACTGCTCATCCCACTGGGGTGGGAACAGCTTCCAGTGTGCCTCAGCCTCATCCTGCCTCGAAACTGAGCCTGGGTGTGTCTGCCAGGGAGACGTGTCCCAGTGCTGGGAGCAGCAGCCGCACTGTGGCTCAGGTGTCACAGCACCCACCCGTGGCTCCAGTGCCAGCCTGCTCGGGCAGGAGGGCTCAACCTTGGCTCTGCCACTGGCCAGCAAAGCACAGCCAGGAATTCCCCATACAGCCCCTCCCAGTGGCCCGCGGCACCTCTGTCCCTGCTGTCCCAGCTCAGTGGCATCTGTGTCCCACCTGTCCCACCTCGGTGGCACCTCTGTCCCTGCTATCCCAGCTCAGTGGCAGCTCTGTCCCTCCTGTCCCAGCTCGGTGGCACCTCTGTCCCTGCTATCCCAGCTCAGTGGCAGCTCTGTCCCTCCTGGCCCAGCTCAGTGGCACGTCTGTCCCTGCTGTCCCAGCTCGGTGGCACCTCTGTCCCTGCTATCCCAGCTCGGTGGCACCTCTGTCCCTGCTATCCCAGCTCGGTGGCACGTCTGTCCCTGCTGTCCCACCTCGGTGGCACCTCTGTCCCTGCTATCCCAGCTCGGTGGCACCTCTGTCCCTGCTGGCCCAGCTCGGTGGCACCTCTGTCCCTGCTGTCCCAGCTCAGTGGCAGCTGTGTCCCACCTGTCCCAGCTCGGTGGCACCTCTGTCCCTGCTATCCCAGCTCAGTGGCAGCTCTGTCCCTCCTGTCCCAGCTCAGTGGCAGCTCTGTCCCTGCTGTCCCAGCTCGGTGGCACCTCTGTCCCTGCTGTCCCACCTCGGTGGCACCTCTGTCCCTCCTGTCCCAGCTCAGTGGCAGCTCTGTCCCTCCTGTCCCAGCTCGGTGGCACCTCTGTCCCTGCTGTCCCAGCTCGGTGGCACCTCTGTCCCTGCTGGCCCAGCTCGGTGGCACCTCTGTCCCTGCTATCCCAGCTCGGTGGCACCTCTGTCCCTGCTGGCCCAGCTCGGTGGCACCTCTGTCCCTGCTATCCCAGCTCGGTGGCACGTCTGTCCCTGCTGTCCCAGCTCGGTGGCACCTCTGTCCCTGCTGGCCCAGCTCGGTGGCACGTCTGTCCCTGCTGTCCCACCTCGGTGGCACCTCTGTCCCTGCTATCCCAGCTCGGTGGCACCTCTGTCCCTGCTGGCCCAGCTCGGTGGCACCTCTGTCCCTGCTGGCCCATCCCTGCCCTCTCCTCAGCTCTTGCTGACAGCTGTGCAGCACTGTTTGCAGTGGAGCCCATACTCAGACCCTCGTGCTGAAAATACCCCGACACCTGCCCTACTTGTAAACGTGCCTTTAAGAAATCACCTTCCAAAAGAGACCTGCAGGTTCTGCCTGGGCGCTGAGCTTCACATCCTCCTCTGCAGCCTACACAGAGATCAGCTGCTGCTTTTTGGGGCTGAACTGCAAAGGACCCCTGTCCAAGGGAGTATTTTCTCCCCCCAACAAACTCAAGCATTTGATAGAACGAATGAAAAGTCCTTTTCCCTTACTGAAAATCTAAGTTTCTTTTGCCAGAAGCTGAGCAGAACTGTAGAATTTTCTTTGAGTGAAGGGAAAGAAATGGACGTGGATTTTGAGCTGGAGGCGAGCGTGAGGAGGGTGTGCATGTGTGGTTTGTGTCTGCACAAACAGCGTCTGTACACTCATGGCTGTGAAAGGGGAACAAAAACACAGATTTTATGATGGCCTGCATTTATTTGTTAGTTCTGGATGTTCCACCTTTCCTGCTATGCTTGAGCATTGCAGGAAGTGCAGTGCTCAAAGGTGCCCTGGCCTCAGGGCACTCGGTGTGCCCCAAACACAGAATTTAGGATCCGTGTTAAATGCTGTCAAGCTGAATTTTTTTTTTACTGAAATATGACCATTTGGGGGTTTTCAGGCTGAAAAAAAAAAAAATTATAATGGGTCATAATTCTTAGCTGTTATTTTGAAAATAATAAAAATATTTCAAATTCATAATTTGATTTTAAATTGGCTTTGGACAGTGACCATAAATATCAAACTTCAGCCTGAAGCAGACCAGAGTTTTTCAGCCAAGTAATAAATCACTGGAAATGGGGAGTAGTTTGGCATCACTTTATCCTATCTCTGCATTTCTGCCACAGAGTGGAAGGAGATGCTTTGGGTTATGATAATTTTCCTAACTCCCCTTCATTTTTAATCCTACATATTGAACACAGAGTACTGTATTCAACTCATTATTTCTTGTGTTCAATTTAAACATATCCATGAATCCAAGCTATGGCAGAGCTTTGCTTTTTTCCTTTTTTTTCCTTTTTTTTTTTTCTTTGCCACTTTGCAAACCGGAATCTTCATTTTATGAAGAGTTGTTTCTGTGCTTATAAATACTGCCACTATTAGCATGTGTACAAGCAGAAACGCAGGCAGAACATTCAAAGCAGCTCAATTTTGAAAGCACAGATTTAGGGGTTGATCTAAAGAATATGCTGCCCTTTCATTTCATTTTGAAGTTATTTAACTGTGTTTTTTCAAACCCATTCTCCTCTAAAAAAGAGGGAAAATTAAACCCCAATGAGTTATAAGTGGAAACATTTTGAGATGCTAATGATGGTTTTCGACTTTTCTGAATTTCATCTTCTTCCTTCCTTTTGGTCAGAATGTTTACTGACTTTGAAAACAAGTTTTGATTGTCTTGAAAATTTTGTTTGTTTGCTTCTGGATTCCTTCTTGCACTTTATGGTAAAAGAAAAGCACCCTAACATAACCCAAACTGTTCAAGTGCTCTCAGCAGAGCCTGGGTTCTGCTCACCAGGCAGGTAAGTTCTTTCAGCTGTCAGCAGTTCCCCATCTTCAGAAGGAGGGAGCTGCACTGATCCCTCAGATCATTTCTGAGCTCTTGGTGACATTGCTGTCAAAGGACATGGTGGTAGAACTATTGCTCTGTAGCACCCACAGAAGTGAATATATGCATGAATAGAGATTTTTACTTGGTTCTGGTAATTCTGGTTTCGTTTTCTATCCGATCTGCGTATTCCAAAGGATTAATTTTGCTCTCTGTCTCCTTTCTCTCCTAGCTTTGTTTAACCTCATACCTGTGGGTTTACGAGTGGTGGCGATTCAGGGGGTTCAAACAAAATTGTATCTGGCAATGAACAGTGAAGGATACCTATATACATCAGTAAGTAAACGTTTTAAATTCTGTTCTCAGTGGAATTGTGCTAAATGAATAAATTACTGTTGCAAGGGATCTGCTAATAGCCTATAAATGTGAGTTTGGCAGCAGAGTCAGTGTGGTGGTGATAGTCTGCTTCTGGTTTGTTAATCTTTTCCATCAGGAACACCTAGGGTTGTATGGAATCCCACTGTGGTGCCTTTGAATGATCCCGAAGTGTGAAATATAAAACAACCCCGAAGAATAAAGCAAAACCCCGAACAGAAGGGATCCTCTCTCTCGGTCCCTGTGGGGTGACGGGGCTGATCAGAGTGGGGCACTGAGGGGAAGGCACAACTTGCTGTGTCCCCATGTGCCTCAGCCTGGTTTGTGTCTTCCTGTAGGATCTGTGTTACTCCAAGTAAAAGGAATTAGAGAAAGTAATTATATTTTTTTGTTTGGCCAGGATTTTCAAATAGAAATTGTATGGCTTCAAGTAGGTGAGTGAGTAAAGAACAGCTTTATTAGTAGTTTTGATGAAGAATGTCCATTAATAATTTTCTGTGACGTTTCTCATGAGAGCAGACAGTGTTTTTATTTTAAAAAAATAATAATTTTTTTTTAAAATAGACCACTTTTCAATTAAAAACATTTAGCTGAACTATCTTCAGGAGTTTTAATTATACAGTTTTAATAGATTTTTCCCAAGGAGGAAAATAGAGGAAAATGTATTCTATTATCTACTACAAATTATTCTCTTCTGTAAAAGAGTCCCTTAATCCTGATAAAAATTAAGCAAACTTATTCAAATCTCTCATTTATTTTGCAATCCTGACAGCTGGGAGCAGGGGCAGCTTTGCATATTTTTTCTCTTTCTGCCAGAGCAGGAGCAGATCAGGCCTGGCAGTGCAGGGACAAAGGAACATTCCAGAGAGCGCTGGGTTTGTGCTCTCCAAGCAGAAATCTCTGCTTTCTGGTGGTGTTTGTGCTTTCCTGCAGAACTCACCTCTGTCTGGGCAGGGGAAGTGGGCAGGGGTTTACCCTGCAGTGCTGTCCCTGCTCTCTGACACAGCCCTGAGCCCACAGGCACCTCTGACATGATGAGCATCACTTCCCGTTGCCCTGCTGGGAGGAGAAGGGGCAGAATGTGACCCTGATTTCCACTGAGTGCAGCTTTCAGCTTGGTATGCATCTTAGGCAGAGCTCTGAGATTCACTTTGGTTGCAATCTTCATTCTTTGCGTTGATTAAGGGTGGTTCTTCACATGGTTGGGTTCCCTTGAATCGTGTCTGCCTTTAATATCTTTGAATCCTTTAATATCTTTGAATTCCATACTTGATGTCATTGTAAAATTAACTGGTGACATCTCTCTATTTACCCCTTAGTAACAGTGGTCATTTTTGTTTCCTTATTAGACAACAATATTTTCTTACATTTACTTTTTAGTCTTCTTGAACTTGATGGGCTTGGCAAGGCTTTAAACAGAATTTTGTTGTGTGCTTCCCCAAATTCATACTTCTAAATTTTCTTCACAGAGACAGGTGTCCACTTAATTTTTATCTGCTTTTCTAGGAGAAATTGTCACCCAAGTTCTCAATAATCCTGGGTTTATCCCATGCTGCCTTCTGATTTGGTTGTTCTGTTCTTTGCAATAATCACAGGAAACTCTCAGGGGGAAAAACCAGCTCTTGTCCCTGTCAATGAGCCCAGGGAATGGACAGGGCTGGTGAGGAGCATCTGCCCCTGCTTCAGCCTGCCAGAAATCCAGTTCCAGCACTATTTTTCAAGTGTTTCTAGCATTTCTTTTGCTGATAATGGTCCTTTCAGCAAGGGATGCAGTCTGACAGCCTGATGCATGGGAAATGAACTCTGTATTTTGGGCTGTATTCCTGGTTGATATAAATGAGTCCCAGGAGAGCTCAGCTGATTTATACCAGCTGAACACTCACCTGTTCAAGGAAAGCCACCAGGGAGCCTGGGGAACAGATCAGCTCAAGTAAGTGACATCCATCTACACATCCTGAGGGTTTCAAAGCCCCTGCAGGGATGTGTTCCTGAATGGGATTTGTCAGGAGCAGACAGATGGCAACATGGGATTGATCGAGTGCAAAAGCCCCACAAAACACTGTCAAGTTCCTGAAGCAGGAGAAGAGGGGAAACAGAAGGGCACTTAAACTGTAGATAACTATAGCAGATAGCTGCACCATTTCCAGAGAGAAATAAAATTAGCATTGGTGAAGCAGTTGAATAAAGAGAGAGATTGCTGTGGTCTCTGTCACGATTCCTTGGTTTTGGTTCTGTTGGGAGCCTTGTGTCTGTGCACAGGGCACCCAGGTGTCTGCCCTCAGAGGCAGCCTCAGTGTGGTTTGCCTCAGCCCCGTGACTGTGCTGGGCAAGGAGGTGAATTTTCTCCATGGGAGGATCAGTGGAGTGTCATAAATCTGCAGAGAACAGATATCTGGAGTTGGCTGCCAGCGTTTATGGATAGTTTGCAGCATCTGTCAGTTAGAGCAAAAGTAAGATCTGTAGGGTAATGATAAAAGCTCCTGGGGGACAAGGCAGCCATTCAGCTCAGCAAAAGAAAGATAAACTATGAAACCAAACATGCAGTTCCCTACATGTGTTATAGGGGCACGTAGAGGTCCTGGCCTGCAGGGAGGGGAGGGGACCACGTCCCATCTCCAGATCACAGAATCCCCATCTGAAATGGTTTCTTTCCTGCAGCCAGTGTCCTCCCAAGTCCATGGCTGTGTGTGACTGCTCCTCCCAAGCTGAACCCACCCTCAGAGTTTTATTTGGAGGAACTTTGTTAGGAGCTATTTGGAGGCACAGCTCCTGGTGCTTGAGCATCCTTTCCCCGTGAAGACACAGCGTTTGATTCATGCCTCTCACACCAGCGTGGTGCTGCTGCAAGATGACTTAAACAGTGTTATGGCCTGCTGTCTTACGTAACCATCATGAATCATTTTGTGGTTTAGGCTGCCTTTTATTTCATCTTCTTTTTCTTTCTATGAATGACCACTTCTTTCACATGACCGCCATATATGCCCCACTTGAGTTTTCCTGGTTTCATATCCTGTGAATCCCATGTGTTGTTTGCTTGTCTGGAACATTTGAAGGGTCTCTTTGGCAGACAGGCAGTGCTGGAGCTGTTGCTTTCTCATTAAGTGGTGGTGATGTGGCAGAGGAGGCTCCCAGCTATGCAGAGCAGCAGTGGGTGAGGCTCCTCCAGGGGAGGGTGGATGGAGGTGCAGGAATTGGGTGTTCTGCATAGGCTGAAACAGCCCAAAATACACCGAGTTTAAAAACAGCCTGTGAACCTCCAGCCATGCATTTTCCATGAACCATTATGGCAGAGTTTTTCAAACCATGTCATGACTGTCAGTGAAATGCGTATTTTTCCTAGAGAACATTTCAACACAGGTGATTTTGTGCTTGTTTCTCCTGGGTACATTGTCAGAAACAGTAGAATTAAATATGTGCTGCTCCTTGCACAGTTGTGGCCAGTCTCAGGAGCAGTGCAGCTGAGCTTGGAGAGAGGGTTCATTTCCCCTCTTGTCTTGCTCTGGGTTCCTGTGTTTTACCAAAGCATTTCATTTCCCAGTGTCATGGGTAGCTCCTCACAGCTTCTCCCAGGCTGGAGGGAGCCCTGTCCCTAGAGAGTCCTGTGCCCTGGCCACGTGTGACAGGGACCAGTGTGCCCACGCCTCCCAGCCCTGCAGCCTAGCTGTGGGCAGTGCAGGGCACTCAGCTGCTAGGAAGAGGTGTTTGTGCTGCCTTTGTTAATTATTCTGGGATGAGTACTTTTGATTTAATATTGCTGCTGGGCGTGGCTTCCTTTTGCCATTTCTCATCTGATGGCACTTGGTGCAGAGCTAGCAGGGGTTTAGGGAGCACTTTGGTATAAAACCCTGGGCAGAGCTGTGTGTACAATTTACCCTAAGAGAGCATTCAGCCAACATTGTCCTCTGTATGTAAAATAAACTCTCATATCTACATTTGGTACCTGCACTGAAAGTAAATATTGTGTGAAGCATGCACGTTGATGATAGCCAAGAGAACGGAAATGTGATTAAATTCTCAGAGTGATTCAAAAATTGGTTTTGGTGAGTTGGAGGGAAGAGAAGTTTGTGCATATTTTAATACTGAGCAGTGCAGTAGAGACCTGCTGTAGCTAATGGGAATGGCTGGGGCATTTATAATGAATTTCTGGCAAAGAGCATTTTTCCACCTCAGGGAAATAGCACAAACCAAGAGATGGGGGAAATAATCAAAAGCTTCATCTGGTTAAACTTGCATGTCAGTATAAATCATTTTTTACCACGAATGCAGACCACACCTGAATGCAGTTGATTCTCTTCAGTGCCAGGGTCTGAGGTGCAGATCCATGGTTTCTGTCCCTGCCAGCACCTTGCCCTGTGCAGCTCAGCAGGCTCACAGCTCAGAGGATGCTCTGTCCCTGCCGTGCCCAGCTGCGCTGCCAGCCCTGCCTGCTGCTGTGCCCCACAGCGCAGGGAGCAGCTCGGGCAGCAGGGGACAGAGCCTGCCCTGAGGAGGTGCCCAGGCCCTGCAGGAGCAGCCTGAGCTGATGCATGCTCTCTGAGCCCCAGGCACGGGCTGCAGGTGGTGCCTGCAGCTCGTGCTGCACGCTTGGGTTCAGCCCTGCAGCAGTGCTGCAGCACGGGGCTGGGTGCTGCTGCTGCCTGGCACAGGGGGAGCCTGCTGGGTCTCCCTGGGCACCACAGGCAGGGTGTGTGCCTGGCAGCTTTTGGGGTGGGTGAGCTGAACTGCCTGCAGTGCAGCTGCAGTGCTGCTCACAGATGTGTCCCAGCTGCTGAAGGGACCCTTGGCTGAGCTCCCCCAGCCGGTGTGGCCCTGCTCTGAGGTGTGGGACACTCCTGGGGAAGCAGAGGCTCCCTGCAGCAGGAGGAGAGCTGTGCTGGTGCCAGTGATGTGGGCTGGAGGCATGGTGCTGTTCCTTCAGGTGCTTGTCTCTGGTGGCACCAGTGTGAGCCCCGATTTCTGGG